CAGCACCCACACACAGCACCCACACACACACCACCCACACACACACACACCACCCACACACAGCACCCACACACAGCACGCACCCACACCACACACACACAAACAGCACCTTCACACATACAGCACCCACACACACATATACACACACAGCACCCTCACACACATACAGCACCCACACACATACAGCACCCTCACACACAACACCCTCTCACACACAGCACAGAAACAGCACCCTCATAAACACACACATCACACTAACAGGACCCTAACAAACACACACACACAAACACCCTCACACACAGACAGCACACAAACAGCACCCTCATAAACACACACATCACACTAACAGCACCCTCACACACACACACACACACACACACAACACCCTCAAACCACCCTCACGCAGCGCGCGCACACACACACACACACACACACAGCAGTGTATGTATGTGTGTGTGTGTATATATATATATATATATATATACATACATACATACACACACACACACACACACACACACACATACATACATATACACGTGGCGTGTTTTTGTGCTTTAGGGTGCACACCCTAATGCAATAGGCTGTGCACGCCTACGCAACCAATACACACACTCTCTGTACCATGAGTAACACACTGACCTGGAGATACAACAACCAATACACACACTGTCTGTACCATGAGTAACACACTGACCTGGGGAGATACAACAACCAATACACACATTGTCTGTACCATGAGTAACACACTGACCTGGGGGAGATACAACAACCAATACACACATTGTTTGTACCATGAGTAACACACTGACCTGGGGAGATACAACAACCAATACACACATTGTCTGTACCATGAGTAACACACTGACCTAGGGAGATACAACAACCAATACACACATTGTCTGTACCATGAGTAACACACTGACCTGGGGAGATACAACAACCAATACACACATTGTCTGTACCATGAGTAACAAACTTACCTGGGGAGATACAACAACCAATACACACATTGTCTGTACCATAAGTAACACACTGACCTGGGGAGATACAACAACCAATACACACATTGTCTGTATCATGAATAACACACTAACATTGGGGAGATACAACAACCTATACACACATTCTCTATATCATGAGTAACACACTGACCTGGGGGAAATACAACAACCAACACACACATTGTCTGTACCATGAGTAACACACTGACCTGGGGGAGATACAACAACCAACACACACACACACAGATGAACTTTTGCAGCACTCAAAGTGAGCATTGCAGACAGCCCTTTATATTTATTGAATGTTGAGCATGATCGTGCTCAGCCACGGCTATTCAGAGCTGTGAGAGGTCTGAAAATACCCTGACAGAATCTTTCCGTATGCCCCCCCACCCTCCCCCTGCTGATTGTGATCGGTGTAGGACTTCGCCAGCTACCAAGTACCAATCACAGTGTGATCAGCAGGTTAAAGCATGCTGGAGGTTTAGCTTTACAGTGAGATCTCCCTGTCGTGCTGAAAACAGCCGGCAGATCCAGGGCAGGTGCAAGGATGTTTGGCCACACAGGCGAATATACATTTTGCTACCCCCCTCCTGCAAAACATGCATCTCCAACCTTCTGCATGTCTCTTTCTACCTTTTGTGTATTTTATCCCCCTTGTGTGTTTCTTAAAAACCTCTTTGTGTGTCTCTTTTTCCCCTTCTTCAACCCCTTTGTGTGTCTCTTTTTCCCCTTCTCCAGCCCCTTTGTGTGTCTCTTTTTCCCCTTCTCCAGCCCCTTTGTGTGTCTCTTTTTCCCCTTCTCCAGCTCTTCCGTGTTTCTCTTTCCCTCAGACACTTTGTGTATCTCTTTCTCCATTTCCCCAGCCCCTTTGTTTGTCTCTTCCTCCAGCCCCTTGTCTCTGCCCTCCTAGCCCATCTGTGTTAATCTTTTTTCCTTTTCCCATCTCCTCTGGGGGCTTCTTTATCCCCATCCAAGCCCTTTTTGTGTCCCCCTCCGTTCACCACTCTGTGTGTCTTTCTCCCTAGAACCCCTCTGTGTGTATCTTTCTTTCCCCATCTCATCTGTGTGTCTTTCTCCCAATTTCCCAGCCCCTCTGGATGTCTCTTTCTACTCTTTCCCAACCCCTCTGTATGTCTTTATCCCAAAGCCCCTCTGTGTGTCTATTTCTCCCCAAGCCCCCTCTGTGTGTCTATTTCTCCCCAAGCACCTATGTGTGTCTCTTTGTGACATGGAGAGCTTTGAGAGGAACTCCGTTGCAGTGGAACAGCAACCCCTTGCAAACATGAGCTTTGCAGGTGCCTGAGAGTGATACGGGAACCTGGGATATCTATAAGGGCAGGAAGTGATGAAGCCATGAGGGAGCCAGGGCCGTCTTTAACGCGGGGCAAACGGGGCAGCTGCCCCGGGCCCAGTTTCTCTTGGGGGGCCCGAGGCACCTGCCCCGTGGGCCCCGCTGACCCCGGCGGGCGGGTGGCCGGTCGGGCAGGAAGGCGGGCGCGCGAGGGAGCACTCAGTGCTTCCTCTTCAGCTCCCTCACGCACCGCACTGATGCCGGAGCCGGAAGATGACGTCATCTTCCGGCGCCGACATCCCTACGCGGCGCGCGAGGGAGCTGAAGAGGAAGCAGTGAGTGCTCCCTCGCGCGCCCGCCTTCCTGCCCGACCGGCCACCCGCCCAGGAGCCCAGCAGCACCACTGGACCCCAGGGAATCCCCCCCAGCACTCCAAAAGGTAAGGAGGCTGGGGGGATTACATTAAAAAAAAATGTGTGTTTGTGTATGTGTGTTAGTGTGTGTATGTGTGTGTTTGTTTGTGTGTGTGTTAGTGTGTGTGTGTTTGTGTGTTAGTGTATGTGTGTGTGTGTGTATGTGTGTGTTAGTGTTTGTGTGTTAGTGTCTGTGTGTGTTAGTGTTTGTGTGTTAATGTATGTGTGTGTTAGTGTATGTATGTGTGTGTTTGTGTGTGTTAGTGTATGTGTGTTAGTGTGTGTTAGTGTATGTGTGTTAGTGTATGTGTTTGTGTGTTAGTGTATGTGTGTGTTAGTGTATTTATGTGTGTGTTTATGTGTGTTAGTGTGTGTGTTTGTGTGTTAGTGTATGTGTGTTAGTGTGTGTGTTTGTATATGTGTTAGTGTGTGTGTATGTGTGTTAGTGTATGTGTGTGTTAGTGTATGTGAGTTAGTGTATCTGTGTGTTAGTGTATGTGTGTGTTAGTGTATGTGTGTGTGTGCCAGCATGTCTGTGTGTGTGTCAGTATGTCTGTGTGTGTGTGTCAGTATGTCTGTCTGTCTGTGTGTCAGTATATATGTGTGTGTATATCTGTGTGTGTCAGTATGTGTATGTGTTAGTATGTCTGTCAGTGCGTCAGTATGTCTGTTAGTGCATGTGTATGCATGTGTCAGTATATCTGTCTGTGTGCCAGTATGTCTGTGTGTGTGTGTGTTAGTATATCAGTCTGTGTGTGTCAGTGTATGTGCCTGTGTGTGTGTGTCAGTATTTCTCAGTGTATGTGGGTGTCAGTATATCTGTCAGTGTGTGGGTGTCAGTATTTCTGTCAGTGTATGTGTGTCAGTATGTTGATCAGTATATGTGTCTGTGTGTGTGTGTCAGTATGTCGGTATATGTGTCTGTGTGTTATTATGTCTGTATATGTGCCTGTGTCAGTATGTCTGTCAGTACGTCTACCAGTGTATGTGTCTGTGTGTGTGTCAATATATGTACCTGTGTCAGTGTGTCTGTCAGTGTATGTGCCTGTTTATCTGTATGTAGTCAGTATATGTATCTGTGTATCTGCTTGTGCGTCAGAGTGTGTACCTGTGCATCTGAGCCGCAACTTTAAATACAAATACACCCCTCCATTCAAACTTCAACACTACATATAAAACACACTCCTGCATTGAAGCGTCAACACTACATACAAGCACACTCCTACATTCAAAAACAAACACTACACATAAATGCACACTTGCATTCAAACTCCAGTACCACATACAAACACATGCTTACATTCAAACATACTAACATGGCTCAGTGCTAAATACAACACTGCAAGCATGGGAAATTGGTAGAGTCCAAGCTGTCAAAGCATTGTTGGAGTTGCACGACAGATGGGGTTCTACCTTTAGTCCAACCTTGCAATTGGGGGTCCCAATAAAATTCATTCTACTTTAGTACCGCCACTGCGTTGGGATGGATGCCCTGATTGCATACCAGGGAGTGAGGGGCGAGAGCGGCAGGGCACAGGGGGCCCAAGCAAACACTTGCCCAGGGTCCATTCGTTATTAAAGACGGCCCTGGAGGGAGCAGACAGGAATCAGTGTCAGGAGGTCCGATGGTCAGCAAAGTAGCGAGGTCAAGAGTCAAGCTGAAGGTCAGAAAGCAGGAAATTCACGACAAAGTTCTGAGACAAGAAGCATGGTTACGGTCAGAGCCAAGGGTCAGAAGTCGAAACGTTTTACCAGGAATCAGGGACCAGGAAACCAGAAATAGGAACATGGATCAGGAACCAAAGTCAGGAACCAGGATCAGGAGTGAGGAACAAGGCACAGGAATCAGAACCAGAAGATTGAGACTTGACCAAGTGCAGTGCTAGGCTATTTAGAAGATGCCATGTGAACAGACCCCACCCCTTGCAGGCAGAACCCCCAAGTGACTATAAAGGAGGGGAGGGAACTGGGTGCCATCTTGGCAATTCCACAGTGCCTCCTCTCTGTCTTTCCAAGCTTCCAACCCCCCAACCCTATCTGCACACTACACCAGCGTCTACATGGCAGCTGCCATCTTGCTGTGTCAGTGGCCCCCAAGCGGAGCCCGGCACAGTTCAACAGCCAGGAACTGCAGGAGAAACGGTGAGAGTGCGGCAGGGCAGAGCCTCAGAGTCAGTACAAACTGCTATGTGCTAAGCTGTTCATTAGCAGGAATATACAGACAAGAATTCACCCATTAAGACAGAAAGAAAGGCGTTTTTGCTTAGAGTGGAGGAAAGGGTTCTTTACAGTAAGGACAGTAAAGATGTGGAGTTCTCTGCCTAAAGAGGTTGTTTTTTCGGATTTTGTAGATTAATTAAAAATGCTTGGATGCTTCTTTGCATAAACAAAATATTCAAGGATATAATTGATATGTATGTAAACAGGTTGTTGGTCCATAGAGTGTAAAGAGGGAATTATTTTGCCTTCTTGTGGCATAATTGGAAAATAGTTTTCTGGGTTTTGTTTTGCCTTCTTTTGGATCAACAACAAAAAATGGTTGAACTTCATAGACTTTAGTATTTTTTCACCCTAGACAACTATATAAACTTTTCATTTAAAAACTGCACAGAGCATGTTACTAATTTAGCCCTGTATTTTCTCAAAGACATCATGGGGTATGCCATATACTATATTTTGAGCCTAACTATACAGCTATTTTTGCGCCAGGTTATTTCAAAGCCTATGGTATTTTTTAAAACTTTTTTTTATATGCACAATTTAGAGGTTTATTTTGATGGGGCATGCGATTAGCCTCTCTATTCATG